TGCCTACTAGTTAGTCATTCTACTTTCATATCCTATCATCTCAAGTTCTTTCTATAGCTGTTAAATTACTTTTCTCTCCGCAACAAAATGTAGACACCCAGGGCTAGAACTGTGTCTAATTTGTTCCTTCTCCTTCACATTCCTTAAGCATACTTCTAGCTATCAGGTTTGTTAGAATGAATAATGTTGACAAGGGCTGTGTTTGTGTTTGCCTGTCTCCTTGGTCTCCTTTTTTACCTTCCTTGAGATGCATTTTCATTTTCAGATCCATAGCACCTGGAAGATGTTGACTCCCTGTCTCAGCTCCACTGATGAGCTCTGAACTTGAGCTGAACTAAACAGAGAAGTTTATCCCCCCACATAACGCACCCTTAGTCACAACTGCTGGCTCACGATGGACATGCGGTTTAACATGGTCAGATCAGAATGGATTGTAAGACTCTTTCTGGGTTTGCAAAGGCAAACACTCCTGTTAAAGTAGTAGAGTCTAGATACTGGAGACCTAGCATTGCTGCAATAGGTCACTGCTCTACAGAGGTCAGAGGTCAACATGTTCAACAAATACTGTTTGATGCCTAATATATTTTGGCATCAGATATTTAAATACCATATATAAGAACTGATTTTTAATATGAAGGTACACAGGAGAGGAAAATAGTCTACTTAAAGTTTTAACCTGTCAAAGTCTGGTAACAACAACCACAAACAAGATAAATGACAATTCTACTCTGTTGGCATTGTGATGATTTCCTCCTTTGTCATATGGGCCTAGTCATAAGATAGGTGAGCAGCTACTACATAAATGTTTCTTTCCTTTTCTTCTATATCTAGGGATCTTTCTCATATTTTTTAAACAAACAAACAAACAACAACCACCAGTAATTCTTATAATATCTATTTTTAAGAATCCAGAATAAACATCTCCCAAGGTTCACAGGGCAAAACTAACCCAAAGGAGACTCACTGGCTTTTCAGAAATGCCTGAAATGGAAGACGCAGACTAATGGAAGTCATTGCAGAGAACTAATGGCTGGCATCCTGTTTCCACACAGCAGAGTGGCAGAGCCTGGCCTAGCAGACCTTGCCACACCATGTGGAAGCTTAAAACAACACCAAGAGAAACTCTTCATTACTTACCTATTTAAAATAAAATACGTTCCTTGGAACATGAAGATTGCTGAATGAATAAAGCCCACCTTTTCTCCCTTCAAGGTTTCTTAGATCAATGTAAATTAGCTCGACTGCTTTTAGGATTGTTCTTTAACTTAAATTGCTCAGGAAATTGCAAACCAGGAACTAGTTACCAAGAAGTCCCCAGATACTAAAAATTCCTGTTATAAATAAAGCAAACGTTCTAGAATCTAGTACATGATAAGGCCTCCTCGTAAGTCCCCTCTGCTATTTGTTTTGACATTGATTAAATGTGAGGAATGCCTATTCTTTCACTATTTCTGAATTCTTCTAGAACCTTCAAGAAAAACTCAGTCCTTTGGAGTCCAAGTTAACAAATGGATTTCATTAGCAAATTTACAGATGATCATACTTTCAATGACCAGGATTAAATATAATCACTTAAAGGATAGAGTAGAAAAAATATACTGAGCCTGCATTGTAGCCTGACCATTAAATGGCCATGTAAATCTCTGAACTGTAAGGTGTTAGTTCCCTCAGTATCACAGAAAGTAATCCTCTAAGTGTTGGTGGGACCAACACTTGCCACCAAATGATGTGGCATAAAATCTGCCTTGCATTGTGTTTTAGAGAAGCACCTGGAAATTAAAAGCATACCTGTCAAGGTGAGCATTGGAGAACATTGCAGCCCCCCCTCCTCAATATTTTTTCATTCTGGTGCCATCATCAAATTTGTCTTAAATAATTCATTTGATCTCTTCGAACAATGTTTACATCACACAAAATTCTATTACTGTATTAATTGCAGAATTGTTATATTCATTGAAGAGACAGCCAAGAGATAGGTATAAGGCATCTAACTTAGAACCTTGCATCAAGAGATTCTTAATAACCTACTAAAATTTCACAGGACCGTCGCAGAGCAAAATAAGGCTTCAGTCCCTTAATGATACTAATGGTTGGCATTTGGCAGAATAAAATGAAGTTCTTTATCAGCTACTTGAAGACTGGGCATATTAAATATAGAAATGAAGTCATGTTATTAGCTGGCTAATAAGGCTTAATGCAGTTAAGTATAGCATTGAAACCATGTAGAATATAGAAAAGTAATCTAAATAGGAAAAGAAGTCTGAACCAGGCCACAATACCAAACAGATAGGGGCACATTGGCTAAAAGCTGTACTTACCTATAAGAAGGCAATTATAAAGTGCCATCCATATACAATGGTACACTGGTACTCTACCTGGATTTTCTTTTTTTGTTGTTTGTTTTGTTTTTTGTTTTTTGTGCTAGTACGAGGGCTTGAACTCAGGCACTGTGTACTCTTCTGAGTTTTTGTGCTCAAGACTAGTACTCTACCACTTGAGCCACAGCTCCACTTCTGGATTTTTTTTTTTAGTGTTTAATGGGAGATAATAGTCTCATAGCCTTTCCAGCCCAGGCTGGCTTTGAACTACTGTCCTCAGATCTCAGCCTTTTGAATAGCTAGGATTACAGAACCAAGCCACTTGGGCCCTTAGTTTTCTTATATGTCTATTGAACTGAACTAGTAAGCACTGTCTATATTTGGATTAAGGGTATTATTTACCCAATTCTTTACCTACCCTTATATCTACAACCCCAGCTGTGACTTTGCAGTTCCTCTCACTGAAAAAGCAGAATGTATTTCTGGCTGTGTTTGTGCAGGTTAGTGGAGGTGGTGGAGGAAGAGGAAGAGAAGGAGGAGGAGGGGGAGGAGGAGGAGGAAAGGGGAAGGCGGACAGACTTCAATCTCTGTTCTTAAGAAGATCACAGGCAGGATCCTGTGAAATCCCCATTTTCTTGTGTCTCAAAGGCCAGCCAGGAAATGGAGGTGTGCCCAAGTGGTAGAGCACCCTTCTTGAACAGAAAAGCTAAGTGAAAGTGAGAGGCCATGAATTGAAACCCAAGTACCAGAACAAAGGCCAGCCAGTGTCTTCGTCCCCAATGATGTCCCTGGCCATTCTTTGCATTGGGACTTCACTGCAGGACAGATTTTTGTCTGCCAAGACCTACATGCCTATTTGATTTTCCACCAGTCGAGGAACAGATGAGAGATGAAGAAGACAGGTCTCCAGCAAGTATTACAACTTCTAGATACTTTAAAGTCACCAGAGTGGTCTTAGATGGAGATTCTCAAAATTGTATAAAATGAAAGCATGTGCTTTGACTTGGGAGCTTATGCCAATCTATTTTAGCCATATAGAGAAGAGTTAGGGTGTTTTTGCCAGTCCTGGGGCTTGGACTTAAGCACTGGGAACTGTTCCTGAGCTTCTTTTGCTCAAGGCTAACACTCTACCACTTGAGCCACAGTGCCACTTCTGGCTTTTTCTGTTTATGTGGTACTGAGGAATCGAACCCAGGGCTTCATACACTTTACCATGAAGCCACATGCCCAGCCCCAGACTTAGTTTTTTTAAACCTATAGCACGTCTGGCTATACTCAAACCTTGAGGCTATCATTCTATCTAGTCAGTATAGTCTTTTGTCTGGAGTTAAAATTTGCATCCGAGTTAAGAACCAGTGACTCATACCCGTAATCCCAGCTACTCAGGAGATCTGAGACTCATGGTTCAAAGCCAGCCCAGGCAAGAAAGTCTGTGAGGCTCTCATCTCCATTTAACCACCAAAAAGCTGGAAGTGGAGCCATGGCTTGAATGGTAGAGTCCTGGTCTTGAGCAAAAGAACTCAGGGACAGCACCTAAGCTCTGAGTTCAAGCCCCACCCGGGACTGGCATGTGTGCACGCACGCACACACACACACATACACACAAATTGCATTCCTGACATATCTACTTTGTCAGATCAAGTCCCTGACCAAAAATATCTAAACAAATCCTTTTGGATTATTCAGGACCAAGAAACAGAGAAAAAGCAGAAAAGCTGTGGATTTCACAGAAAAATGACCCCCTGCTCCCAGCTAGGATATTCATGAAGCTTCCATGTGGTGGCTGAAACACACTACAGTTGAATCTATGGTTTAAATCTGCAGGAGAGGTAGAGTTTCTTAAAGATTTGACTTTTAAGAAAAGAATCAAGGAATCAATGTGTGGCAAGGAAAAAGAAATTCACAAAGACTCCTGAAATAGATTCAGAGAGGCTTTGGCGACTTCTCCATACATGCTACCAAATAGGTGGCCACAGTTTCCCACAAATTACCTGATCAAGATCCTACAGCTTCATTGTCCCTGTATCTGCTTTCATCTTGCTCAAAATGAATCCATATGTGTCTTGCAAGACTGGAGCTGTAGAAGCTCACCACGTCTGTTTATGAGGCAACAGTGGATGAGTTCTACTCATCCAGTACACTGGCAGTCTTTAGCAGCCTCACCAAACCTGCTAAATCGGTCCCTCTGTGGTGAGGCTCAGCAATTAGGAGTCAGCAAGTCCTGCAATGAGTCCTGACCATGTTAGAATCTGAGAACCGCTGTGAGCCAGTTACAGTTAGCAAAGGTGCATCTATGCACAGAGTGGGCAACTTAGATACCTGCAGCAGGTACCTGGAGTAGCTCTATTCTATTATTTCACTCCATTTATTTCCTTATTTTGTCGATTTCTCTTTGAGGGGTAACAGAATGTAAAGGAAGGGCTTGGGTGTCAGATCAAGTGGTGAGTCCTTCCCCACTCTCATCATAAAGAATCTAGAATGCCATTCACTTCAAGAAACAAATTCTGAGAGGACACAGTGCAGGCATGAGGGGCACACAACAGGCACTCAGTGACTGTTAAATAAAATGGAATACTCAAAGTGGAAGAAAAGTAAGTTGACACAAGACAGACATACAAGAGTCTCTGCTACTCTGTGTTCTTGACTTCAACATCTAAGTACACTTCCCAGTTCAGTACTCACCTAGACAATCTGAAGTTACTTGCGATTATTTGATCTTTCCTCTTGGAGAGAAATATCTAGGAAGACTGTTCATTGCAGGTGTTTTCTTTATGCATGTCTTCCAGGAACTGCATTGACAAGGTTAAGTGACAGCCATCAGTGGTCACCAAATAGATGAAAATTAAAAGTTACGAGATCTAGACCATGATAGACAATTTGCTCTATGAAAGTTAGAATGTGGTTGTGACTTGAACTAAGCATGACTATCCCACAATACTGTGAAATTTGGGAAATTATGTAATCACTTAATCACAATAAAGAATTTGCAAAAAACATTTTAAAGTCACGAGATCTTTCTCATCTGGAAAATTAGTGAATTAAAATGATGAAAATCCTCAGTGTTTGCAAAGAGGACATAACACTGTTCATTGGAATTGAAATTGGGACCCAGTTTCTACAAATCAATTTGGCAATGTCTGTCAAGTTCATGATATGTTCTTTTGGACCGAAATGCCCCTTCTAAGTATTATGAAAGACCAAGCTGGATGCTGGTGGCTCATGCCTGTAATCCTAGATAGTCAAGAGGCTGAGATATCAAGATTATAGTCCAAAGCCAGCCTGGGCAGGAAAGTCCGTGACACTCATATCTAATTAGCTATGAAAAGCCAATATAGAACTATGGCTAAAGTGGTAGAGCTCCAGTGGACAGAGCCCAGATACTGGATTTAAGCCCCAGGACCAGAAAAAGAGAGTAAGTCCGGTAATATTTAGAACGTATATTCACTATATGCAAAGAGGTTTTTAATCAATAAAATAGAAAAATTAGCTGGGCGCTGGTGGCTCATGCCTGTAATCCTAGCTACTCAGGAGGCTGAGATCTGAGGTTGACAGTTCAAAGTCAGCTCAGGCAGGAAAGTTCATGAGACTCTTATCTCCAATAAAAACCACTAGAAAACCAGAAGTGGTGCTGTGGTTCAAGTAGTAGAGTGCTCGCCTTGAGCTGAAGAGCTACAGGGACAGTGCCCAAGCCCAGAGTTCAAGCCCCATGATCGACCAAAAAAAAAAAAAAAAAAGGAAAATTATGCTATATTCACACAATGTACTATTTGTTTAAATTATGCTTACCAAAAATTTTAAATAAAATATGAAATCTCCGTGAGAAATCTATAGCTAGTAATGTGTACATACTCTGCTTACCATGAAATAATCTGAGTGCACATATTTACTCAAAGAAAGTACACCAAAAAATTGTCCATGGCTTCTTTGGGCTATTGAAGCATGATTTTTATTACTTTCTGTAGGGCTGTTTTTACGTGTTCTAAATTTTCTGTTGTCATAAGAAAACTATTCTCAAAAATCATAAAACTGTTTTATATTGTTAGTTCTTCTAATGCATTGTTTTCCACTCCACAATTGTCTTTCATTTCTTCATTGATGATAATGGCTTTGGTGATCAAAACAAGACAATAGTTTCAGGTACACACTGTGGGTCTGTATAGTTTTTCTTGATGCTGTTAAATTTATAATTTAATAACCTCTCCATCTCAGTGGATAAAGAGGGACTACCTATGCAAGACCTTCCACCAGGTCCTTAAATGTTGAGAAATTGTGGCTAATATGCATTGTAACACATAGGATATTATAAAGATCACTTAGTATGACTTTGAATGGGCTCTTTAAACTAAGCATCTGAGATTTTATATTTTGTTGTTACACTCCTGCCATTTCTGGCTTCTCTTGTATAATTATACTGATGATTATGTAAGAGGGAAGAACCCAGTCTATTTGGGGTCACTATTCTGCTGATCCTTTCTGCCCTCCAACTAGTATCCTGGGGTAATCTACCTTCTCCCAGGAGAAATTCAGGACTTTTATGCATGCACAGGGTACTATTAGCAATATTCTCAGACACAAAGCAGTTGCTCATTTTTCCAGGTGTTCCAAGGTCAGCTTTAGTTTTTGCTAATCCCTGAGAATAGCATCTCACGTTGCCACCACCTTGCTAGGACTTCCATTAAACCATAGAGGAAGAAACGGGTCTTCTAAGTACAAAATTAAATTCAAGAACAACAACTCTATATTTAATTAGAACACGGCTGTTCTGGGTCAGCTTTCTCTCCAAGGAATTTGTCAGCACACAGATTCAAAGAAATGCCAACAGCATCAGAGCCTGGATTGGATCTCGGTTCAATGACTAAATTAGTTTTTCCTTGTGTTCAACCATTCATCCTCATTAAGCTTCAATCCAGATGCTTAGAAAACATTATTCTTACAAGACATTAGGTTTGAAAGGAACTTTACAACTTTGGGGGGAGAGGATTGGGGGAAAGGGAAGGGAGAGTGGGAGAAAAATGGAGTGGGTAACAATGTTCAACAGGAAATATACTTATTACTTATGTAACTGTAGCCTTTCTGTACAGCACCTTCACAAAACAAGCCACTGGAAATAAACCAAGGAATTTATATTTAAAAAAAGAAAACATTATCCTTAAATCTGTTGGGCTGCCCCTGTGAAAATTCAAATAAGCAAATGTCTACCGATGCAACTTAGAGGTTACATATTAGCTTTGAGGCCATCTATACTTTAATATTCTCTTCAGTTTGAGGCATTCTTTTAGAATCTGCAAGCTTCCAATGCTGGGGAAGTCACACTCTGTTCTCAGATTGTCTGTGACCCTGGTGGGCAAGGAAACATTTGTCTTTCGCATAACAACCTGGTTGTAGTTACAGCTCTGGTTTCGGAAATTTATAATATAAATAGGTGACCTTTCCAAATGGGGATTCCTCATCCACTAAATATTCTTTTGTTGTTGTTGTTATTTGTTTGATTTTTTTTCTTGGTTGTGAGGCTTGAACTTAGGGCTTGGGTACTATCCCAGAACGTTTTTGCTCAAGGCTAGCACTCTACCACTTTGGACCACAGCACCACTTCTAGTTTTCTGGGAGATAAGAATCTCACAGACTTTCCTTCCCAGTGCTGTCTTTGAAACGCTATCCTCAGATCTCAGTCTACTGAGTAGTTACCATTACAGGTGTGAGCCACCGGCGCCCAGCTACTGAATACTCTTCTCACTTTGCTCTCAACCTTCTTTGCTTCCTTGTACTCCACAATCCATCTCTCTCTGTCTCTCTTTCTTTTCCTTCCTTCCTTCCTTCTTCCTCTCTTTCTTCCTCTCTTTCTTATCCTGGGGATTGAACTCATGGCCAGAGCATTGCCCCCGAGCTTTTTTGTTCTCTCTACCACATACTATATCTATCTATCTATCTGTCTATCTATCTATCTATCTATCTATCTGTCTATCTATCTGTCTATCTATCTGTCTGTCTGTCTGTCTGTCTGTCTGTCTGTCTGTCTGTCTGTCTATCTATCTATCTATCTATCTATCTATCTATCTATCTATCTCCCCAAATTTGGCAAATGACAAAGATTTCTAGCATTGTTAACTGGTTCATAGAATTGTTGCATCACAGATTTTACATGCATGTAGGTGATCTATCTAAAGCATACCAAGGAAGCTGGCAGAGAGATCATACTAATGAATTGACAAATGTTTATTGTTGATGAGTGATAAAGTGATGTGATCTCTAGTCTCTTCCTCATGTCACCAGGCTGTTTGGACAACCTAGCTTGGCAATCACCTTCATAAGTATTTTTTTTTGTTTTTTGTTTTTGTTTTGTGTGTGTGTGTGTGTGTGTGTGTGTGTGTGTGTGTGTGTGGGTCGTAGGGCCTGAACTCTGGGCCTGGGTGCTGTCCCTTAGCTCTTCAGCTCAAGGCAAGCAATCTACCACTTGCGCCACAGCGCCACTTCTGGCTTTTTCTGTTTATGTGGTGCTGAGGAATTGAACCCAGGGCCTCATGCATACAAAGCAAGCACTCTACCACTGAGCCACCTTCCTAGCCCCATTTTCGTAAGTTTTAATGCCCAAATGAAAGGCATAAAATATTACAGCTAGGAAAACTCAGAATGCACCAGCATGCTTATCAATTAATCTAACTGAAATTGACTGTGTTATTTGGCCTCTGAAAGACTTCAGTGTCTTAGTAAATATGTGTAAATCCTAATTCTTAACATCATATTTTTGAACACTTACAATCATCTTGGCAAGCAATTAGCATTCAATCTATGTCAGGAAAAGTTCTGGAAGCTTCAAGAGTAGCTGGCTATGATGATCCTGTGGGCCCAGCATCTGTGGTTACCCCTTCTCCAAGGGAAGTCCCACACAGGTCTGACCACAGTCTGCCTGGCTCCACCACCAGAACCTGCAGCAGGAAGGAGGTAAAGGCAGGAGGAGGAGACATGGTTAGGGAGACACAGGGAGAAAAGAAGAAAAGGAGGAAGTGCTGGGATTCTGAAGGAAGTGAAGAGAATGCCAGGTGGGTGAGTGGGAACAGGTAGACAGCTACCCACGTGAGAAGGAGCGCTTCTCGCTTCCTTTGGTTTGTGCTCAGCCTCCTAGACCAGGTCTGTGGTTAGCCATTATGCTTTATGCAAAAAGGAACATTACATAATGATTCAAATATTATTTTTATAAATAAACATCTTTTTATTTCCTTCGAGGGAGGTGTTGGGAATTGAGCCTTTTGCACTCTACTTCTATCCCAGTATTTATGCATCTTTCCTTAACATTCATGGATGAGGCAGAAATAAATAGAAATCTCAATGAGAAAAAAATTAGATTTATAAAGCACAACAAAGGAACATAGGGTAGTAAGTAGATACTTAAAATCAGTGGCTTCCTCATTGTTATTTTTCATTTGTTCAAAGAACTTTGATATGAACAAGTCAAATGAGACTCTGCCACATGAAATGGCTTGAGACTTTGTGGGGGGGGTGGGGAGAGGGAAGGAGAAAGAGAAGCCTTAAAAAAATAATTCCACTCTGGAGATAGACACAATTGCTTGCCTTTGTTTTAACTATGGATGGGAAAGAAACTTCTTTCCAAACAACTATCCACAAACCAGCTCCCTGGCAGTTTACTAAGTCTGCACTGCCATCTATAAACTCTGGTCTCTACACACAGTAGAAGGTAATGGATACATAGTAAGACTAGGAAGTTAATTCAACATGAAAAATATCAGTGTGCTATAGCAAACTGCAAATCGTAGAAACACACATGTATCAGTCA